GCACAAAAGATGAACAAGGCACAAGCCTTTTCAGGAGCAGCCAGATTTAAAATTTTTTAGGATGCCAGACTTAAAAATAAATAAGAACAACATTCTGAGAAAAGTGCTAAGATAGAGGTGTGTCCAAAGTGCAGCATGAGCACGAGGGAAAGAGGGGGTGATTATGACTTTGGAATGATAGGAAAGCAACACAGAGGAGCGATTACTTGCCTCAGGCTTTGTAGTGTGAACAGGACGTCAGCAGGCAGAAGAGAGGACTCGGGGACTCCAGGAGCAGTGATGATAAGGACTAGAGATGGTCCATGGAACATTTGTGACTGCTCCTGGCTCCTAGAGAAATTACCGTGTGTACCGTGCCAGAGGAGGCTGCGTCTTACTGCTGATGAGTCTTCCCTCAACACTAAGTCTTCCCTCATAGGTCTTAGCAGCAAGCAGTGTTGACCTGCATTAATTGAGGCGTAACTATTTTGAGATGGGTTGATCTTCTGATAAGTAAAGGGAATCCATTGTCACCTTCCCAGTTGCCCCTGAGTGCACTTCAACCCACGTCCACCCCCAGGTGTACCAGAATGGAACCGAGCTGCTCAGGGTGTCAGGGGGTGATTTTTGGGAAGTAGCTCATCAGACTTTTCTTCTGAGGCCCTTCTGGGTGAGCTTAAAGCGTGCACATTTCCATTTGAAGCCGAGTGCTTAACCGTTTGCCTCACCTAGGAGCTGTAAGTTAATACTTTCATGTTCCATTTATCTCCTCCCCAAATGAAGCTAAGGAGTTTGGGTGGCACAGTGGTTAAAACTCTAGGCTGTTAACCGAAACCACGGTGGTCAGCCCACATGCGCCCAGGAGGAGAGAGGTGTGGCCGTTTGCTCCTGTGGAGATGACAGCCTTGGAAGCCTGAGGGGACAGTTCGATTCTGGCCTTCAAGGGCACTGTGAGTTGGAATCCACTTGATGGAAGTGGGTTAGTTTTTGTTTAAAAATGAAGCCAGAAGTCGAACCTATCTCAGAGTTTTGTTATAAGAATAAATCAACAAAATGAAACAATGATTTAGCATAGTACTGGGACATGTTAGGTTTATAATATATCTGCCTATTTTTTATATGTTCATATTTTCCTTTTAAATATGAAATATCTTGGCAATTTGCTTTGATAATTCAAGGCTTAATATTCTTAAAAATCAAGTTTCAGAATACTTGGAATCAGAACCATTGTGGAGCACTAGGAATGTACAAGGGGGATTCAAAAAGTTTGTGGAAAATAGAAGTAAAAGATAATGGCTTCCCTTCCCCCCATGAACTTTTTAAAGCTCCCTTCTCTACATGGTATCCTCCAGCAAGGGAAGGAATGGAGTAAGGAAAACATATGACTAAGGATGAAAGAAAGGGGGAATGAGAAAAGCAGAAAAGGGAGGGCACAGGGCACGCTTCAAAGTCAACCAAAGGTTGGTCTTCCTTCCTGGCTTTCTTCCTTGTCTTCCTCCTCCACCTCTTCCTCCTCCTCCTCCTCCTCCACCTCTTCCTCTTCCTTCTCCTCTGTCCCTTTATTCTCCTTGTGATATCAGCCTAGTACTACATTGTCTTCTGTGGATGGAACAATAAACATGAGATGACATGAACGCAGAGTGCACAAGTAAATACAGCCTTCACTCACAGATAATAACGAATCCATCCACACACCAAGGAACTTAGAAATTTAAACAAGTGTCTTTTAAAGAGTTTTGTTCTTTCATATGTTATGAATTAAAAATAATTGCTAGTGACCTAGTTTAATAGAGTGGTTGATAATAGAGGAGGAAATATTATTAGCATAAAAAGTACACTAATGAAGCTGATTATTTGGAATGATAGTTCACCTGATAGTGTAAAATTAATACTTACAATGTTTGGGGACGAGTCAATAAAAATGTGACATTTTCTTTGTTGGAAGTTTCAAAAGTATTGCATTATTACTATTTTAGCAGAGAAATTGGTGAATAGTAAAGTTGAGAAAAAGTGATGAAATTGATAAGAAAGCATCATTGGCTGAAAAAAGTCATAAAACATAAAAAGTAAAATAACATAAGAAGTACAAAGTCACTGTTGGTTGTACAAACTTTACTAATTTTTTACCAAGGGGTCCGAAACAACTCTTATTTTCCTGTGGATTGCATGTTGCTTCCTCTACTTCAAAGAAATGAAATCGCAAATAAGTCATTTACTGTAGTCGAATTGACCTTTTCTCTTTGGTTTATCAGGGTGCTCTGGGGAGTCAGAATATGAAGTTATCGGTGTTAGGTGAGGCCAAGATGATTCTGAATGATTGTAGCCCCGTGTGCAACAGAGAGAAACATTACTCAATCCTGTGCCGTCGTCACAGTGCTTTGAGCCCATGGCTGCAACCACTGTCTGTCCATCTTGTTGAGGGGCTTTCTCTTTTTGAATGACTCTCCACTAAGTGTGATGTCCTTTTTCAGGGAATATCCAGGTCTGATGGTCATTTCCAAATTGTGTGCAGAGACACCCTGAGATAGTTTACATTTTTGAGGAAATGGGCTTGATGACACTTGATGTCTGTGGACCCCATGGTATTCGCTGGAGGCAGCTCCAGTTTAATGACCTCTAGTACGGCGTCACTTTTAATGACAGGTGCTTACAACGCTGAGTGTTCAGTAACTGCTATGAGAAAGAGCACGCGCTGCATGAAAATCGAGTAGGACAGGAAATGAAGGGATGATTTCCAATCTGATTCCATGACTTGATAAATTAGGCCATGCCCACAGGCGCATACATCTCATTGTTGAGTAATTCCAATTACTTAAGAATGAAATCAATATATTGTTTTTCTTACATTTCATGTGCAGACATCTTGCAATTAGCTGCAAAGTTATTAGAACACAAATACTTAAGATACATGGACCTGGAGATAACCTGAAGGGATTAATCACATGCCAAGAACTCCTTGGACCTAGAAAGTTTGGGGTTGTCTGGGTTAAAATCTGGGCTAGAAATTACTTTTGGATATTTTGGTTTTGATCCCAAGACTTGATCGATTGATGTCAGAATAAGGCAACTAGAACACAGCATGCAGGCCTCGGAAGTGTGGTTAGTGGATGCTGAGCTAATTGTGACTCATGGTGACCTCCTGTGCCAGGGTGGCATTGTTCCAGGTTTCAAATCTGTGACCTTTTGGGAGCAGATCACTAGGCCTGCTCCCAGAGGTGCCTCTGGTTGGGTTTTGGACCAACAAACTTTTGGCTGGTCGTTGAGTGAGTGCTTAATCCTTGGCACGGTTGCATTACACTGAGTCAATTCCGACTCATAGTGACTCCAATAGTGGAACGAATGTTTCTCAATTGTTTCCCATCTGTGACTCAGTCATCACCTCTGGTGCTGTCAGACCAGGGCTTCGAACCTGTTCAGTGTGGTCCAGTCATAGCCTTTGAAGGGACACTGGAATGGACCTCGATTTTTAAAATGTAGGTGGCACTAAGGTGTTCACTGGAACGGGAAAAATTATGGGTCAGATGCCTGTGAGGAACCTCATCCCCCTCGGAGAAAACAAAGGCAATGTGTGAGCTGCAAAACAACCAGATCTCTGGACTGAGTAGAGAACAGATGGTGGCCCTCCCCACTGCTTTGATCGCATGTTACTTTCCACAGTCCTGACAATACTCCATGCCACACATCAGGCTCCTGAACGGGTTCAGCCTGTCTGTCCTGAGTCCCCCATTCCAGAGCTTTGACCTGTAGTTTTCCCTATTGCTTATAGTTCCAGATCATCCAGATTAAAAAAAAATACATGCCGGTTCTAATTTCACTTATCAGTCATGACTGAATGGGTTGAAAGTTACCATAGACCCTTAAAATCTTTTTGGCACATGAAAATGCTGCAGAATACCGGTTTGCACAATCACATGATGGTGGCTTGTCTTCCAGTGGATTGTGGCATTTCACAAGTAGTCCTCATGGCTAGTAACTGGGAGTCAGTGTCCACTTAGCCCCTGTGAACAAATCAGCAAACTGGTACATCCCTTGCATTGGAGCAAGGCCGTTATGGGAGTTCTCTCCGCCAGCTCTCACTTCCTCAAGTCCCTTCCTAAGCCCCTCTACCAGGAAGCAAACGTCCTGCCAGGCTCCACGTGTACCTTGACAGCTACAAAGCCCCAGCCAGCTCCCGAGGCTGGAGGAGAAACTCTCCATAATAACCAGGGCTGAGAGTCAGTCTCTCCAATTGTCAAACAGCTGGGATGGAACGGAATTGCAAAAAGTTCCTTTCAAAACCCTTGAAATTATTAATGTTATAAAATTAGCTGGGTGAAAGAGTAACAAAAAATAAACACCACGACTTGCACATATTTGTCAAATTCCAAAGGAGAGGATCTTTTCTCTATGTATTCATAACAAATTTTATAAGCACCCTCACCTCCACCCCCTTGAAAAAAATGGTCTCACACCATGTTAGCACTATTGATGGAAATACTTAAGAACAACTGGTATCTTTTTGCATTAAAACACAAATTGCTCCCTTTGAGTCAACCACTTTATAATCTGCGTAGGAATGCATTTACCAGTGTACACAGAAGACTTGTCAATATCTGACTTTACTGACTCATCGCAAGTGCTCAAACATGTACTACATTCCTTGTACTGTGGGGCAGGGAGAGGCTTTTTACCTCCTGCAAGGTCGCAGGCAGAGGGAGTGGCCTTGGGGGGTGAAGTGATTCTGCCCTGGACCATAATCACAGAAGAGGAAAAGTCTAGACCTCCTCTTCCTCAACCATAAGGATCATAGATCATATCTAGTTACTAATTTTAAAACCAAGCAATCCCTTACTGTTAAGTTGATTCCAACTCACAGTCTATAGGGCAGAGCAGAACTACCCCACAGGGGTCCCAAGGTCAGAATCCTTACAAAAGTCTGCCACAGCCGCTCCCCTCCCAGTAGCTGGTGGACTGAAACCACTAACTTTTGGGTTAGCAGGCAGTCACATTAACTACTGCCCCACCAACTCTTCCTTATGTACCTGTGATTCCTGTTGTCGACGGCTCTGCCACGGTTACAGCTGTGGACCTCAAAGCAATCACAATGGGTTTGTGTAAGCCAGTGTCGTCCTGGGCATCCCCAGCACACCAGATGAACCCTGCTTAAGAGATAAGGAATGTCCTGTAGAATCTGTAGCCTAAGATTAGACATTGGTTATATTTTAACCTTTCAATTAATTGAAACAGTGAAAGTCTGAAAGAGCTGCTAGTCAGTGATAAGGACTTTAGACTCACTCTTCTGTCTTAAAAATAGAAATTAAGTCAGGCTGTCACATCCAAGTTGTCATCAGTTTCACTCTTGGAAGTGGCTAGAATAAAATAAGATCAATTGTGCCAAGAGCTGTGACACCATGGATTCTCTTCCAAGGGGATGGACCCCTTTTACATTTAGAGAACATTAATTTGGAATCATGTGTCACTACATTATTAAATTCAATTTATTAAGCCTTGGCAAGTACAGATAATTTGCCTGGACACTTGGGAAATGCAAGACAAGTACATGGAAAGATCGACTCCAAGCATCCTCCCCCCTCCCCAGTTCTTAGCAGAGTAATCTTGGAAAAATGGAGGAGAGTAGAGCTGTCCTGAAGCTTTCCAAGCTGTGAATCTTTAAGGAAGCAGACAGCTACATCTTTCTCCTGCACAGCAGCCCGTGTGTTCGAACAGCTATCCTTTGGATTAGCAGCTCTTCGTTTAACCATCGCGCCACCAGGGCTCCTTCTCCTCACTGTGAAATAGGCGTAACAAAACCTGCCTCAAAGGTGAGGATTAGAAGACATAATTTCTTTAGGAAGTCGTACACATACTCAATATTCTGCCTACCTCCGATCTAAGAACAATTAGTTTGTGTGACGTGGCCCTGCTTGATGCTTGCCTTCATGAAGAGATCACTTAAGATATGGGTGCTGGAGAAAAGTGTGGTGAAGAAACCAGACAGTGCCCTGTTGTCAGAAAGAATAGTGTCTGGGTTCTTAAAGGTGTGACTTAAACCAAGCAGTCATATAAGTGAGGTGTCAACTAAGTTCAAGTGAGGTGTCAACTAAGTTCACATGGAAGAAACATACCAGCCTGTGTGATCCAAGAGATATAAATAATAAAATCCAAATCTGAAGTGGTATCAGAGCTTAAGTTGTGAATCAGAGCTTAAGTTGGCTGACAGTGGAAGCCCCAAATCCATTTGCGAAGTCCTCGCATGTATTAAGACTTTGGTGAATCCCCTCTGAACCTAGTTGAGGGAAGTGAACAGCCTGGCTGTCAGACAGAGAGCATTATAAAGTTGATTATGGCAGATGTAGCTAGGGTAAAATGCAACACCTTATCATTTGATCACCCTGTTGACCCTCTTTAAAGTTGTTTCAGTTTTTACTATTTTCTGCTTTTTAATTGAGGTTTCCCTATGTTTTGTCTAGTTGTTATTAGTTTTGTTTGTTTCTTGGCTGTGTTTGGTATGATTTTCTGTATATGAAATCCAGGATAGGTAGATCTATAGACAATAACTGGATTGATAATTGCCTACGGGCATGGCAGGGAAGGCTGGGGGAAATGGGGAGCTCACACCAATGAGGATGAGAAGAAAATGTTCTGACATTGATGGTGGTGAGGATTGCACAACTCTTCTTATTATTTATCTATTTATTTATTTATTTTTTAACATTTTATTAGGGGCTCATACAACTATTATCCCAACCCATACACACATCAA